TCTCTGCCAAGCTCGCTCTGATGTGAGGAAATAAAGCCAACCTGTCTGACAGATTCTGGAGGAATGTGTCTAAATCCATTTTGTTCCCCACAGTTTGCCGTATTTAAAAACGTTTCGCACACTAAGCCTCTGTTTTTTAAGTCTCCATTAAGCCTGAAGTGATCCCTCTGATACAAGGTGAACTGTTTTGTTTGTTTCTCCTTTTCTAGGAGAACCACCTGTGGGAGGCATATTTTGTGTGAAACATGCTGTGTGTTTAACCTGGAACAAAAGCTGAGTAAATAAACTTGAAGCTCAGAAAAAAATGTAGGAGATGGCAGCACATTTATAGTTCCTTTGCTCCAAGACTTTCCCACGCCCGGATTAAATCTCAGAAGTTATCTGCTGATTCATTAGACCTGAGCTTCAGATATGAAGAGCATCTCTGTAAAAACTCATCAGATGTATTTGTAACAGTTACAACAGGCTGTTTATTTTTTTAATAAAATGATGTAAATAGCTTTCTCATTAAAGTAGAATATCATCAGAAAATTATGTTCTTTCATGAATTTCCATCAGAAAAGGAAACCATGTTAACACACAGAGCGACATATTTGAAGCCCTTATTCATCTTCATTTTAAAAGCTGAGATACTAAAGGTCTTACAGCGTGATTTTTTTTTTTCATCCAAAGCCAACTGAAGGTATTTAAACAAATTGTTGTTTTCTGCTATTTTTCCAACCCAGAGGAAAGACACTTATTTCACTGTGTTGTCGCTAGCTGTCGGGTGCTCCCTGTTTCTGTTGTTGTTTTAGACCGACTGCAGCATTTGTCTCAAACTACTTCTGGTAATTAAGCTCTTAGAAAGGCTAAACAAAGTCCCATATATCATGGTGCTGTAGAATGCATTTTTGCAAATACAACATTAGCTAATGGAAAAGAATTGCTGTCACTGTGCAGATTAGCTTTGAGCAGAAATGACCCCACTCTGTATCACATCACAGATCACTGATCAGAGAAAGTAGGCATATAAACGCATTTGCAAATAAGGCTTAATACCAATTAGGGCATGATTATGATGAAGAAGTAGCGTTACAGCATAGCTAAAACTCAAAGACCTTGATTTTGACAAAACACAGAGGGCGCAGTATTTAAGGCCAGACAGACAGTGGGATAACTCAAAAAGCATGTTTTTTTTTTAAAAACACGGGTCGCAGTAGTAGTAGTATGGCATCTAAGGCTGGAACCTCTGCAGGAAAGAAACACAGGTTAGTGACCATGATAATCTGACAGGGAATAATCGTCCATGTGAGTCACTAACCTGGTTTTCAAGTTCAGTCCATGCCCAGAAAACGAGGTAGGATCCAGCCAACAACATACGGAGGGCACCGCCCAGAATGTCCCAGATGCTGCAGCCCAAAAGAACATGCAGGAGTCCAAATCCAGGTCCAGCAAACAGATCAGGTCAGAACGAGCAGGCAGATTAGCTTTGAGCAGAAATGGCCGCACTCTGTATCACATCACTGATCACTGATCAGAGAAAGTAGGCATATAAACGCATTTGCAAATAAGGCTTAATACCAATTAGGGCATGATTATGATGAAGAAGTTGCGTTACAGCATAGCTAAAACTCAAAGACCTTGATTTTGACAAAACACAGAATAGAGGGCGCAGTATATAAGGCCAGACAGACAGTGGGATAACTCAAAAAGCAATTTTTTTTCAAAACACGGGTCGCAGTAGCAGCGGCTATGGCATCTAAGGCTGGAACCTCTGCAGGAAAGAAACACAGGTTAGTGACCATGATAATCTGACGGAGAATGATCGTCCATGTGAGTCACTAACCTGGTTTTCAAGTTCAGTCTATGCCCAGAAAACGAGGTAGGATCCAGCCAACAACATACTGAGGGCACCGCCCAGAATGTCCCAGATGCTGCAGCCCCAAAGAACATGCAGGAGTCCAAATCCAGGTCCAGCAAACAGATCAGGTCGGAACAAGCAGGCTCAGTGGTTGGGATCAGAACAGGTCAGGATCATGAAATCAGAAACACCAAGGAACTCTAAAAACACTCTCATCACCTTTTAGAGAGAACAAGATAAAATGGCCCTGATGACTGGACTAAAGCACCTTAAATGGAGGCAGGAGCAGGTGGTTCAGATGAGAGGCAATGAGCAGCCGGGCAGAGTCAGACAGGTGAATGAGTAATCAGTCATCAGTGCCAAAATCATGACAGATTTGGCATGAAAGAGGCCCTTAAATTTAAACAATAACTTACTATAAGAAGCTCAGTTATTCAAATGATGGACGCACATGAGGACAGCTACTGACTTCTCAGTCAATGACACCTTTCATCCACAAGAAGGTTAGACAAAAAAATATAATCTTTAGAGAAGTTGGTTTTTCACAATATTTACCTAGAAGGCTTAATGGAAGAAACAGAAGAATCAGATTCACTTAAACTAAATCATTTTGTGAACTCTCTTTTCCTTCATCTGATTCCTTTCACTGAACAACCATTTTGAATTTCCCCTCATGTTGAGTTCTTCTCTGTTTTGGGTTTGTTTACCTTTTTGTTTTTGGTATCAGGCTGTGAGATCTTTGTCATCGTCACTCGGCCTCCTGTGGTCATCTTCCTCATACAGCTGCTAAATATTCAGCTTATCATTTCCATGCCACTAATCCACTCATAATTTCACCTTCCAGTTTTCAGTCCCTCCTTGGCAGGTGATGCACCTGTTTGGTGTTCCTGACTTTAATCTTGCTTTGCCTGCATTTGTTGGTTTAATGTCAAACTGTTTCCTGAAAGCCCCACTGGTCAGGGGTAATCTATGATCCTCAAAACAAACTGTTAAATACTTGAAATATATCACCCTGTGAGGATTAAATCTAGATTACCAATACATTTATATTACATGGCTTTAATTCACCTTCTAATCATAGTCTAATAAATTAAATACATCTGTATATTTTGTAGGTTTAAAAAGGAACATTTTCTCAACAGATTGTAATTTTTCTCTTTAGCACCCTCCTGTGTCTGTTTTTATTTTCATCACATCTGCCTTGACCATTTCTCCGAAAACATTGCTCAACATTTAGTGCAGGTCAAGATAAATATGACAACAATATTCCAGCCAATAAATGTAATCTAATTATCCTCATAGGTACCCACAGGTACCCTTAGTATCTTTATCTAAGATACAAACTAAACTGTGAATTATTGACTAGAAACAAACTGCAAGCATTAAAATATAACTGATTTTTATGGATCACTTTACAGCAGATATAAAGAGACGTTTTCCTATTGGTTTGTTTTTAAACTGCTGATGTCATTCCAGCTTCATTTCTAACAAAATATGTAGAAACGTGTGACTTTAATTATGGCAAACCTAATTATACATGTAACATACTGCAGGGTAAACTCCAAAGAAAAAACACCTATATTTATATATTTGATGTATTCAAAAATAAAATAGACATTTTCACATTAAAGTAGGCCATGTTTGTTTAAGTTGCAGGGTTCTTAGGTTTCTTGCCCCACATGTGCGTCACATCAGCTTTTACCCAACTTGAGTTGAGCAGCAAACAGGAACAGGAAATGATAATTCGAAATAAAGCACAAAATTAATGCAATGACTTTGAATTAAATGCTAAATAACTCTTATTGAAAATTTGTTGCAACTATTCATAATATTTAAAATTACAAGTGTAACACATTCCATCTTATAGACAACATGCCATTAACCAATCTTCAGCTTTTTTCTTCTTTTTTTTTATTTTTATTTGGTTACATATTAGGCCTATTGTTTGCATTTTAATATACAAGGAGCTGAGAACTGGATAAGAGCTAAAATGACAAAACATAAAAAATATTTTCATATGTCTGAAGAGTTTGAAAAAACAAGCAAAAAAACATTGAATGTAATTTTGCTTTGCCCGTTGACCTTTATTCTGAAAGTCACCCAACCGGAAGTGTTGCTGGTTTAAATTGCACTTTAATCTATGGCAGGGGAAATCCAAAGTAAAACATTTATATTTATATATTTGATGTATTACGACGGTAAAATTAAAATTTTCTCATTAAAGTAGTCCATGCTTGTTTAAGTTGCAGGGTTCTTGGGTTTCTTGCCCCACATGTGCTTCACATACCAAAATTGTAAACAGGAACAGGAAATGAGAAATGGAAATAAAGCACAAAATGAATGTAAAGTGAAACATTCATTTTGAATGCAGTGATTCAGAATTAAATGCTAAATAATGCTAAATAACTATTCATAATATTTAAAATTACAAGTGTAACACATTCCATCCTACAGCCGACATGCAATGTGACCAATCTGCAGCTTTTTTCTCCTTCTTTTTTCTTTTTTTTAGTTACATATTAGGCTTGTTGTCTCAATTCAATTTTAATTCAGTTTATTTCTATAGCTCCAATTCACAACACGACATCACAAGGCACTTTACAGTTCACCAGATCATACAGTCAGATTGATTCAAAGTTTTCTATCTAAGGAAAACCAGCTGATTACATCTACTCATTGACTCCAAGGCAATCTCTAACACTAAGCAAGCTTGTAGCGACAATGGAGAGGAAAAACTCCCTTTTAACAGGAAGAAACCTCCAGCAGAACCAGGCTCAGTGTGAGCGGCCATCTGCTGAGGCCGCAGGGGTTCAAGGAGACAGAAGCAGAGATACAAAAAGCAGCTGTAAAAGGCGGTCCCATCCAGGAAACACACAGAAGAGAGCCAACGCCAGTCACAGTCAGAGAAACAGGACCACACTGGAAAAACAGGCCGATTTCCAACATCTAAAATTTTTACATATTAATATACAAGGACCTGAACAAGAAATGGATAACAGCTAAAATTACAAAACATACAAACTATTATCATATGTCTGAAGAGGTTAAAAAAAAATTGTTACTTTGATTTGTCCGGCGACCTTTATTCTGAAAGTCACCAAAGCGGAAGTGCTGCGGGTTTAAATTGCGCTTTGCAAACAGCTGTGCTTTCAGATGCAGGATGTCTGCAAAACAAGAAGGAGACACTTTATGCCTTTTTATCAACGGGAAAAAGGTAAGCTGCCTCTTTACATCTGTTACATATAGTTTTGTTTTATATGCATCGAGTTAGACATCTCTCTCGTTTTTCTTTTATGAGCGAAATAAAGTTAACGTAGGTCATTATAAAGCTTTGATTCGAAGAGTTAAGTTGTTTCAGATATGAAGGAGAAGAAAGTCGGTTTGCAGACATTTTGACAGCTGTCAGATTTTGAGGTTTCTGCCATTTGGTCAAATAAAAGCATATATTACACAGGTATAAGGAAGGCCAGATTGTAACATAAGGAGAGATGTAACACTTATTAAATGATTAAAGCACGTGCTGTTACAGATTCTCCTCACCTTCCTTTTATCTAACATCAAAGAGTTAATGTTGAGCCGCCATTAGTTCCATCAAATGGGAACAAATGGGGATGAAATGATCATTTCACTAACAGCCATTCCTCCCCTCAGCTCACATGGTGGAGGTCAAAGCTGAAAGCTGCTGTCAAACAATTGTAGGAACAAAAACAATGATTCCTAAGTTGTTTGCATTTCACCCAGCGTGAAAGTTTTTTTTTTTTGTAAGTACACCACCTCTACTCAAATGGTGATTGTCAACAATATTTGTGCACATTTCCTCCGCCAACTTCAAAGCAGCAAAGCCCATAAAGGTAAACAATGGCTGGAAGGTGTGGAATGGCTTGTAACAACCCAAGTGTTACACATCCATCCCTGTTACACACAAATAAATTAAATTAATGTTTTTTTTTTCTTTGTTTCATTATTAACTGCCTCCTATGCAGTTATAAAGAGAGACAATAACTACCCAAAAGCTGAAAATTAATACTGAGACTGTAGAAGAATAAAACATGTATTAAAACATAATGTAACATTTTATTTAAACAGGAAAAAAAACCCAACGAAAATAAAAAACCCCTTTTCAAAGCAAGCACGGCCAAGAAGCAACAACCCCAAAAAATAAACAGAGATACATGAAATTAAATGAAAGCTACATAAAAAAACACATCAAGTAAAACAATTACGCATCATTAAGGCCGCTTCAAATTCTTTCGCTTTCAACTTAAAAGCATTTAAAGATAAAAACTCAGTCAACTTCCAGTTTCTTTGCAAAAGGAAGAGTGAGCAACAGCTGATGTTTGGATTGCAGGGCAGAAGAAGCAATGCTTTTCTGTGTCAGTAAGGTACGAATGTAAGAGGGAAGAAATCCAAGAAAAGCCTTGGAAATAAAAGTGTACCAATGACACTGCCTTCTATTAGTGAGGGATTACCATCACACCTGAGAGTACAGATACAGTTTGTGATAAACCCCCATCACACCAAAATAAAAAGGTGTTATGGTTTTGTTTTTATATCACATCAGGGTGCCTGTTGGTAATTTTAATAAAGAATGAGAACTAAAACTGTTAGTTTGCTCTTGTAGACTTGGTCTTTCCCTAATGGGTAAATTGAGTTAATAACAAATTGAAATGAACAAATATGAAGCGGAATCTCCCACTTTTATGTAGAGAATCGAAGATATTTTTCAGTAGGCCGTCCAGATTGCAGGTTTTATCATATTTTCAGGGAGCTGAATAAACTAACTGTGATTTAACAGGTGACTGAGGAGCATGTGGACCCTGAAACAATGCTGCTGCCCTTCCTCAGGGAGAAGCGTATCCTTCAGATCATCTCTGGCTCCATCTTCATAATCCTTTGTCTTCTTAAATTTTACGCTCATGATTTTCTTGGAGGCTTGTTTTGTTCTTGACTCTGATCTCAGTCAGGTTAACTGGAACCAAGTCTGGATGCGGCGGCGGAGGATGCGGCGCCTGTACCGTTATGGTGTCCCGCTACCAACCTGCTTCCAAAACCATCGTGTATCCTTTATCCTCCTGGTTCTTCTTCAGTGGTGAGAGATTTGTATTTTTTCGGTTTATTATTATCTGTCGCACTTAATGTAACAGATCATGAAATAATATCAGATACATAATTTATACTTTTACTTCAGTGATTCCTTTTTCTGAAAGCAGACCTGAATACACCAAGCCTAAAATAATCAAATAGGACCTTACAGACAACATGAAGTAGGTTAAAATTACTTAAAGAGGCGTTATTTGTTTTTGAAGGGGAAATTAATCCCTTTCTAAAGCTTTGGGACTCCCAAATAACCTCAAGGAGAAGCTTTATCCTCAAAAAAGACAAAAGAGCAGTGAAGAACTTGCCAACCAAGGTAACTTCAATCCGTAAATTAGCCAGAAAGTCCCAAACAAATCAAAATAAATCATTGCTGTTACATCTAGGGGAAGGATTCAGTTAATGAAAGCTAACTGGACTGTTTTTAAAAGTCCATAATCTAGTAAAGGCTGAAGACAAACTTAGTCTGTAACGAACGCTTTGAGGCTTATTCAGGTTATTGTGCCTGCAGCAATCACTCACTGGAACCAGTTCAAATAACATTTCTTATAATAACTGCTGTCAAACAGGACAGTCATTATTAACTTTAATCAATATTAAGCCGAGAAATGGTCCAGAATTACAGGGCTAGGCTCATTAGAAGTCGTTCCGTAAAAAAATGATAAAGATTGAGCCCTAAAAAAAACCCAAAAAACTGCTCTGGTGGGCTTTTTAGGGCTGAAACAATTAATTCAATTAATTGCAATTAATTATTCATTGAAATAATCATTTAAGCATTTATAATAATCGATTAACAGTTAACTGGAGTATAACGGCTCTAAAACAGGCTTTTAGCTGGAAGATGAACCCACTAAAAGCAATAATTGTATGAAAATTGTTCAAAAAAGAGAAACATTTTGCATTGAGGATACAGAAGTCTGTCTATATGCTCTATCCAGAACTCCTCCAGTGTAAAAGTTTAACTTTTACCCCTTCTAATATCAGAAAAGGTCTTCTTTAAGGAAGCTTTGGCTATCTGATTATTAAACGATTAATTGAAAAAATAATATAGAGATGAATCTATTTGCAAAAGTTGTAACCCCAGGTGTTATACCTCAGTAATATCAATTAACCCTTCGTCACGCTACGTTTGTGTTTTCTGATAGCGTGTCATTCTTTGTATATGGCCCTCTGAGAAGTGTATCTGTTTTATTATCTAAATGAGTTGCCGTATATCTTCTCATTCTTCTCTCCTAACCTTGTGACTTAGTGATGAAGATGATTACTGTTATCCTGACATGAAAGGATCTCTGCTTCGGCTAATAAAGGAGGTGCAATAAATCAGTTATACCTCATAGCATTATTAAAAAAGAAAAACTGTAATTCATGGAGAAGTGCATCTGTTATGTATTTTAGAGTTTACTAAGTCTTTTATTAATGATGATTGATGATTATTCCTTACAAGTCTTAAAAGAAAAATTTGATTGAAAACGGATCCCTACCCATTGCTAAAAATAATAAAAACGTTGCTAAAAATGCTAAAATATAATCTAGATTTTAAAAACTGAGCAATTACTGGAATTATGTAGAAGAAAAGATTAAGGGTTTTGTCTCAAAAATAATGTTAAACCTATTAAAAGGTCTCATTTTGAACTTCTTCAGGCAGGTCAGTTAAATATTAACATATTAAATCGATCAGGCTCGACTCCTCCTGTACAGTTAGTGAATTATGTAGTCCAACGTGTTGCTGCACTGAAATGTAATGTTTCTCCTTGTGGCGACAGTGGAGAGGAAAAACTTCCTTTTAACAGGAAGAAACCTCCAGCAGAACCAGGCTCAGTGTGAGCGGCCATCTGCTGAGGCCGACTGGGGTTCAAGGAGACAGAAGCAGAGATACAAAAAGAGGCATAGATAGAAAAAGCAACTGTAAAAGGCGGCCCCGTCCAGGAAACACAGCCAGGCAGACGAGCTCCGAGCCAGCTCCCATGTCAGAGGATGAAGAGAGCACATCCAGCTAGTCACGGTCAGAGAAACAGGACTACACTGGAAAACAGGCCAATCTCCAACATGCATAAACAAAAGTGTTGATGGCAGCAGCACAGCTGATATGGAATTAATCGTGATTAATTGAATATTGTTATAATCATCCACTAATTTACTAATTGATTTATCATTAACTGGAGTATACAGACCCTAAAACATACCCTTAGCTGACAGAGCAACTCACTTTGAGCAATTGAGTAATTATATGAAAATTGTAAAAAAAAATAAAAAAAAAAATATATATATATAACATTATCAATTTAAGATAAAAAAAAAAAGTTTTTGTTTCCCAGTATGCTCTATTCAGAACTCCTCCAGTGGAAAAGTTTCACCTGGTTTGATTCCGTAAAAATGTCTTCTTCAAAGAACCTTATGATATCTGATTATTAATTAATTAATTGAAAAAATAATTGACAGATAAGTTGATTTGCAAAATAATCATTAGTTCGCAGCCTTACTTTAGATTGGAGGTCTTCAACAGGGGGTGTGCGACCCCTACTGGGTCCACAGAGGTACTGCAGAGGGGTCGCAAAACTTTTTGGTTGATTAGACTTTTTTTTTCATATATTCCCCCCTGCAATTTTTTCCACTAATTGAAATGTCTTTAAATCCACATTAACATGAATTCATCACACTGCAGTAAACAGATAAATGGAGGCAGAAGATGTCTTTCAGTCATCAATGCACACATTCAGCGACACACAGGAGCTCTTTCAAGCTGGACACCGTTTCATTCACAACACCTGTCCCATGAACCAGGAATCACAATCAGAAATACTTATAATATAAATAATAATAATCCCAGGGCGACATTACTTTCATTACATTACTCCATATGTAATAGAGTGACTATATGACCAGTTTAATAGAACACAATTTCATACAATATGTATAATTAGGGGGTCCCCGCTCCATCTCGCCATCAGTTTGGAGTCCTTGGCCTGGAAAACATTGAAGACCCCTGATGTAGATAATGACAGATATCTGGAGGGTAAGATTTACAAAAGAGACCCTCTCTGATTGGTTAGCCCCAGTGGTGTGATCAGGCTCCGCCCATTTTTGGAAAGAGTTCTGCTGCTGCAGTGGGTTTTGAGACTCAAATTGGAGGCATTTTTTTAACGATGAACTGAAAGATGGCTGAAATGAAAAAAAAATAAATAAATAAATAAAGATGGCCGATATTAAAAAAAATCTTATTTGTTTTTCAGAGATTTATTTTCTGTACATTTTGGGTTTCATAGATTTTACAGAGTAAGACCTGCTAATTTTAGAAGAGAATATTGTATTTTAAATATTAGATCACATTTTATCCTGTATAAAGTAAGTCTTATCTTATTTTTTTTATGTTATTCTTTTGACCTCTTAACCACCTGCCTCAGTTAAATCCTACCAGCTTCTTAAGCCCACCGGTGGGCCATGGAGGGTTCAACTTAAACCACCTTAACCAAATCTCTGCTACTGTAATCATGTTTACAGAAATCTGAACCACTCTGAGTTGTTGCTGACAGAGTAAAGCCGGAAAAGGACAAAGTTCAGATTTCTGCCCGTCTGAATGAGTCATCATTTTCACCCGTCTAATTTTTATTGACCATTGACTGAAAGTTCAAACGTAGAGGCTGATAAAAGATGGTGAAATAGTCGGGGGTTAACTATTTTGTTATGTTATAAAATAGATGCTTATGATAAACAGACCTCATCTGTGTTCCCAGTTTTTTATCAAAATAGGTCTCAAATCATGCTCATCATGCTTGTCATGATGATGTTGCAAAAGCAGACCTGCTCTCTGCTTGCTGTGTACAGATAAAGACACCAACGCCGCTCTAAGGTATGATTGGGGAAAATCCCATCATTGTGGAACTTGACAGTTTGCATCGTTTGTTCATCATAGAGATGCAGCAACAGCTGGCATCACAACATCCAAACCTTTAGCTTTCCCAGTACTTCCAGGTATCCAGCTTGCAAAGGTTTGCTGTGGTGAAACCGATTTTCCCTTAACGGCACAATCAGCCATTACTCCGCCAATGCCTGCCTCCTGCCAGTCTGTCAGCTCCACGGAGCCGCCATCACCACAGTGGAGGGTATCGGCAGCTCAAAGACCCGGATCCACCCGGTGCAGGTCAGTCCTTTCATTTAACATTTTAGGTTTTGTTTCAATTCAATACAAAAAAAATATCTCTGTAAGATTTTTGACATGGATTTAGTAGCTATAAATTAGGGTCCAAATTGAAATTTAGCTTAATTATTAATCAAATTATTCGGAGCACAGCAGACTAAATACATATACAGAAAATAATCAGTTTAGATGTTTATCATCTCTATATGTATTTGTTGTGTTTCATAAAGTTGTATGAAACACAAGGAAATTAGTTAAAGGACCCAGCCGATGAAGAACAAGAGTGATAAATAAAACACTAACATTACTGCACAGATTAACATTACATTAGCTGGTGTTTATTAACATTATTGATATAATATTTTGATTGTAAAACAAAAGAACTACCCTCTGACCTATATCTCCATGTATGAGACGCTGTCCTACAGCTTCTTCATGGCATCAACAAAAAGCTGCTTTATAGAACAACACTGGATGAGTTTGAAAAATAAATTTTCCCTTCACTGGTTTTGAAACATCGACAAAGACATGCAAAGGTTAAAGCTGCAGAGATAACTGGAGGAAAAAGGAGAATCAGGTGGGTCTGTCATTGAAAGGAATATGGGAAACTGGATAGCTCATCTTATGCTAACTGAACTGGTGGTAGGAAGGATATTGCTTCCTCATCTTAGCTCCTTCCCTACAGCCTACACTACCTTAAAGTCGTAGTGAAGCGGCTGTTCCAACCGTTGCATTTCCGAATTCTCGCAAGTGGTGCCCGACTTTACACGAGTGAATAAAGTGGATGTGATCGGTCGTTTATCAAGAGGGCGGGATTGTTGTGGCAGAAAGTTTGCAAGCAATTTTGGTTGTGGCCGGTTTGTCGGAAGCATCTTGCTAACCAGTTAGCAACTTAGTGCTAGTAGGTTCCCAATAGGAAATTCCATTGGGACCAAGTAGCACTAAATTGGTGACTTAGAAACGACACTGTCAAGGAACGCTATGGACAGAGGAAACATGCAAGAGGAGGAGAGTTTAGTGTCGGAGGTCGTGGATGAGTCTCCTCCATCATCCATTTTTTATTTAGAGCTGGAAAGCGGCCACGAAGATGTTGTGGAAGAGGACGCCAGGGCGGCAGAAGCTTGGTTTGGTGTAGAAGGCTTCCAGCCGTCCATGTTTGAGCCCTTGCCTCGCAACGCTGCCAGTTCTGTTAGCTCTACGCCTGCTGAAGACACAGACGTCCATGAAGACTGGGACGGAACTCAATGGGAAAGGAAATGATTCTGATTTCTTATTGCAGCCGCTGTGTATATTAGATGCGACATATAAATCAAGATGCTATGACCGAAAAAATTTGATTGACAGATCACTATTGATATATGATTGGCCGAATTTAGGTGTACAAGCTGATGTTTAACTAACTGGCCTGCATAAGATAACGAAAAAAAAAAAACATTTTAAGACAGGATTTTTTTTTAGATAGAAATTTTCTAACTTTTGCGACAATATCATCTGATAAAGAGTATATTTATGTACATGTTTAAGCCAGAATGATTTGACATTTAAATATGATTTCCCTACGACTTTAATGGCTCTGATCATGGCAACCACTGACACACTTCCGTTTTTGACCTGGGTTTCTTTACTGATTTTCATTTTTTAAAGGGAGCCTTAAAATCCTATTTCTGTCTTGGTCTCTCTGGATTTAATTCATCGTTGCTAACACTAGCTGACACGATAAAATAAGCACCACTTGCCTCATTGTACCCCATTCTTTAGAACCTTGGGCCATTTCTGATCTATGCTCCATACTACCCTGCTTCTTCGACTTCCTGTTTATCAACGTCAGCATATGACAGTAATACAGTATGCATCATACCTCACTTCCTTTAGCCACTAAACTCTTTCCGCTTGCACACACTAACTCGCGTAAACACAGAGGCGTTATTATATTTCAGTGAATGAGGTTTTTTTATAGGCCTTGGTGGAGTACAACTATGCTGCTTCTGTTATTTGCTGTTGTTTCTCAAATAAAATGCATAACAATATTACAGCTTTCATTGATTTATTTCAAATTTGAAACATTGTCTAGCCTGTAATGTAAAAAAAATAAATAAATTAACCAATTAATACAATTCGAATCGTGGTGTATTCTTGAGAATTGAAAATAATCGAATAGTTGGGTCAGGTAATTGATACGGAATCAAATCGCCATGATGGGTGTGATTTACACCCCTACCTAGAATGCCAAGAAGTTGCTACGGGAATTTAAAATCTAAAACACCAGGGCTCCAAGTTGTCAATGGTATCAAGAGATCCGGTAGACGAGACTAATAAAGGTTCAGGTAGTGAAGAGCATAAAAAGGCACAGTGGTCATGAGCACCAAGTTATGGTGTAACAGAGATTTAGACATTATAAAGTGTTTGGATGGACGGTAAGTTAGACCAGCGGTTCAGGAGGTCCTGGTTGTTAGAAGGTCAAAAGACGAGGCATTGCAGAGCACCTGGGAGTCAGGACTACTTCAAGTTCAGACAGTTTGGAAACAAAGGTCCCAAAATTGATGGGACAATACCAAAAATGATGATGGCTGCTCAGGCCATAAGAGTAGAAGGGGATCGAGTAGTGAGAGGCACGGGGTTTGAAAGTCTGGACCTGAGTCTACAGTAGTTCGGAGATGATGGTCAGTGATGGGGGAAAGCAGTGATTAGAGTATTTGGAAGAATATCTTAGTCCAGTTGGATCCACAAGTCAGTTGGACTTGGCTTCAGTGGGTCTAAAACTCTGATACCTGGAGTTCTGAGATGTACCAGAGGTTCTGGAAGACAGGAATTCTCCAATGTTTGTGAAATCAACAGGAGCAGCATGTATCCCTGCCCTCTAAATTCTAAAAAGATATTCTCCATCTATGGTTGTTCTTGCAGGAGCGAATAGCGAAGGCTCACGGCTCCCAGTGTGGGTTCTGCACGCCTGGGATGGTCATGTCCATGTACACCCTGCTGAGGAACAAACCGCAGCCAACCATGGAGGACATCATGCTGGCTCTGGGTGGTTCGTTCTTTATTAAACCACAGTATTCACTGTCAAGACATTAATATAGATATGAGATACAACCGCTCGGTGCGTGCCGATGTTTTTCAGGAAATCTGTGTCGCTGTACTGGATATCGACCCATTGTTGACGGCTGCAGGACTTTCTGCGCGGTACGAGTTTCATCACATAAATAATTAACTCTTATCTGTCTCTTGCACGTGATGGTAAAGCCATAAACATAACATGTTTAATCTTTATGAGTTTATGCCCACAGGAAGCAAATTGCTGCCAAGCCAACGGTGGAGCAAACTGTTGCCTCAATGGAGGAGAAAATGCAAACGAGTCAGAGCAGGTGAGCTGGTAAAGTTTTCTTTCCCTTTCTAAGACCTACAGGGCCTTAGGAAAGTAATCAAGCCCCTTGAACTGTTTGACCTTTTGCCACATTTCAGGGTTCAAATGAAAAATTTTAATTTTTTGTGGAGAATCAACAACAGATGGGACACAGTCATGAAGTGGAAGGAAATTTAGTGGATATTTTAAACTTTTTTTAAACAAATAAACTGAAAAATTGTGTGTGCAAAATTATCAAACCAGTTTGAGTTAACACTTTATAGTGCCGTCTTTTGCTGTGATTACAGCTGCAAGTTCTTAGGGGTTTGTCTGTATCAGTTTTGCACATCGATAGACTGAAATTTTTGCCCATTCTTCCTGCAAAACAGCTGGAGCTCAGTGAGGTTGCATGGAGAGCCTTTATGCAGTTTTCAGTTCTTTCCATAGATTCTCCATTGGATTCAGGGCTGGACTTTGACTAGGCCATTGTAACACCTGGATATAATTATTTGTGAACCATTCCATTGTATATTTTGCTTTATGTTTTGGATCATTGTCTTGTAGGAAGATAAATCTCCATCCCAGTTTCAGGTCTTTGCAGACTCCAGCAGGTTCTAGAATGCTCCTGTATTTGGCTCCATTCATCTAGCCATCAATGTTAACCATCTAAAGTTTAAAAAACAATCCACTGGACTTGGTTTCCAAGGTTTGAAGATGTTTCGCTTCCCCTCTAGGAAGCTTTCTCAATTCAATTTTGCATTGCTGCCAAAAAGTTTGATTTTGGTTTCCTCTGACCAGAGCACCTTCTTCCACACGTTTGCTGTGTCACCCAGGTGGCTTGTGGCAAACTTTAAACAAGACTTTTCATGGATATCTTTGAGAAATGTCTTTCTTTTCATAAAGGCCAGATTTGTACAGCATGCTACTTGTTTTCCTATGGGTAGATTCTCCCACCTCAGCTATAGACCTCTGCAGTCCTTATTCTCCTTGTTTGAGTTGAAAGTTTAGAGGGACAGCCGGGTCTTCGTGTATTTGCAGATGTCTGATACTCCTTCCATTTCAATACTATCGCTTGCTCAGAGCTCCTTTCAATTCAATTCAGTTTATTTCTATAGCGCCAATTCACAACATGTCATCTCAAGGCACTTTACAGTTCACCAGATCATCCAGTAGGATTGGTCCAAAGTTTTCTATATAAGGTTGATTGCATTGACTGATTGACTCTTCAGCAATCCCTCACACCAAGCAGGCTTGTAGCAACAGTGGAGAGAAAAAACTCCCTTTGAACAGGAAGAAACCTCCAACAGGACCAGGCTCAGTGTGAGCGGCCATCTGCTGAGGCCCACTGGGGTTCAAGGAGACAGAAGCAGAGATGGGCTGTGTTCGAATTTATGGGCTGTGTCTTTCAAGGACGCGGTCTACCTGGACTGGATCCTTCGGAGTCCTGAAAAAAAAGGGAGACCGGGAAAGTTTTGGCTGTGAAAACTACACAGGATACATTGGACCCATTCTTCAAATCGGGCAAAAAGAAGGGCGCATTTGTAGTCCGCATAACGAGGAGTCTTGGAATCGGACCAGACCTCAGCGCCGTGCTAATTCGAATTTGGCCTTCGGTGGACACATCCCATAAATTCAAACCTAGCCATAGAAAAAGAAGTAGAGATACAAAAGGCAGCTGTCAACCAGCTCCACAGGCAGCCCCGTCCAAGAAACACACAGCCAGGGAGACGAGCTCTCATGCCATAGGATGAAGAGAGCACATCCAGCCAGTCACAGTCAGAGAAACAGGACTACACTGGAAAAACAGGCATATCTCCAGCATCTATAAACAAAGGTGTTGATGGCAGCAACACATTTTATATATTTCTCTCCAGGATGGAGTCACACCCACAGGAATAGACGAGACGAAGCTACTGTGATCCTTGGGATGTTTAAAGTTTGGGAAATCTTCTTTAAACTTCTCCACACCAGCATCTCTGACCTGCCTGGTGTGTTCCTTGATCCCCATGAAACCATCTGCTCTTTAAACAGACCTCTGAGACGATCACAGAGCAGGTGCATTTATATAGAGACTTGATTACACTCAGGTGAATCCTATTGATCATTATCCGTCATTTAGGTCATCAGTGGATCATTCAGAGATCCTCAGTGAACTTCTGGAGAGAGTTTGCTGCTCTGAAAGTTAAGGGGCTGATTAATTTTGCTTTTCCCACTCTTCAGGTTTTCATTTGTTAAAAATGTTTAAAATATCCAATTAATGTTGTTCCACTTCATGATTTTGTACCACTTGTTGTTGATTCTTCAACAAAAAACACAATAATATCTTTATGTTTGAAGCCTGAAATATGGCAGAAGGTTGAAAAGTTCTAGAGGGGGCCTCTATCCACTTTAGATCTTTCTACCTCTTATTGTTTTACTTTAATCTCTCCACTGCAACATTTAGCCTCAAAAATATCAAGTTCATTCTCCTTCCTTCAGGAAAAACCTCAACTTTTTGACCAAGAGAAGTTTCTTCCCCTGGACCCGACTCAGGAGCTGATCTTCCCTCCAGAACTGATTGTAGGTCATTAGACTCATCAATGTTCTGCTCATCAGCTACAAACCAACGATGATCTATTTCTGTAATGCCCCACAGCTGATGGCCGATGCATCAAACCCGCAAACATTGACCTTTCATGGAGAGAGGATGACCTGGGTGTCCCCTACCACCCTGGAGGAGCTGGTCCAGCTCAAGGCAAAGCACCCAAAGGCTCCACTGGTCATGGGAAACACCAACATAGGTCTGCAAGTTTCATTAATAGAATCACTGAACCCTCTGGTCTAAACGAGAGTCTGATGCTTCCAACAGGACATCACTAAGTCAGGCGTTCCTCTGTAGACCATCTGGAGTTATAAGTCCTCTTATCTCTTCAGCTTCTTCCTCAAGATTTGACGGTTGATTCTCTGCTAAATCATGTCTGATGTTTGGATCATTGTTCTTCTGAATTACCCAATAGAGACACATTTTAGTTTCCTCATGTCCTGATTTAAGGCCTTGAATTTCAAAGAGTTTATGATGCCATGCATGCTTAAAAGCCTCCTAAGATCCGCAGCATTACACATTCTCTACTGTACCTAACCATGGGGCTGCTGGGGTTCCTGTGCAGACTGATGCTCATCAGTTAACTTGATTGGATAATTAAATGTGAATTGGCATAGAGTGAGAATTAAGTTTCCGGATTAAATTTCTCTCTACTTTATTTGAGTTATATTTTTATCATCTCAAAGATAAATAATTAAGATTCGTAAATATTTAGATGATGTCCCTGATATTGGTTTGCGACACTCATGGCCCGCTCTGCTTTCTGTTGCTCACTAGTTGATTTACATACCAGGAGAGCATTTTATTCCTGTTTCATTTTATCTAGGGGGCTCCGGTACATAATTACCCAAAGGTTATGCTTTATCGTAAAAAAAAAGAAAAAGAACGGGAACTTTTTGTCGCTTTTCTAAATCAGACACCAGTTTCAGCTCTTGATTCATTTTATCAATAAAATAAATCAATAAAACAGACAATAATAGAACCCTGTGAACATTTGTTACTCGGATGTCCTCCAATCGCTCAGAAACAGGCTGGAATTAGAAACTGCTCCAACTGTAGCAATCCTGGTCTGACTTCCATTTTGACCAAAGCAGACAGTTCCAGTTAAAGTCCCAGTATAGTTTAGGACAGAACAACAACCAATAGATGATGGGACAGTGGATCATTGCTGATTAGCACCGATATGTAATGAAATAAGCTGGACTTGCCAGCATGTCTACAGGGGACTGAGTGTTAAAATGCAGAACATGATGGTTTCTCTGCTTTTTCCTGAAGGTCCTGACATGAAATTCAAAGGCGTCCTGCATCCACTGATAATCTCTCCCATCAGAGTCAAGGAGCTGTTTGAGGTCTCTGAGGGACCAGATGGTAGGAGGTTCCTCACTTATTTCTCCATTGTTCTCTTTCCTAATTTATTCAATCAGCATCAAGCTCCCAAACCAGATATTTATCTGTTAGTTTGTAGTTTCTCCTTTCCTGACCTGTGATGGGTTAAGCTTAAACCTCCCAACAAACTAGATTATTTTATGTGAGGATGCAAAAAAAAAAACTCTTATTCCTCCATTTATTTAGATTTAGTTGACAATAGTGTTGAATTGTTTCCCTTAGACTTTTTAGCTCCACTAATTCTTTTGTTTTGTTTGTTTTTTTAATGAAATAAGACCCATGATGAACATATCAACCTGTAAAATTTCAAATTATTGTTTGACTCTCCATCTGTTCCCTACACCTCCTATGATTAAGACAGTTTGGAAATGTTCCCATAGGTTTATAGATCTGTGAAACACTAAGAGGAATATTTTCAACCTTTATTTTATGTAAACTTGATCTTTACTTCTAGATAATGATAATTGGAATATTGCATAAGAAGGAGCTTTGTTTCTAAGCTCTCAGTTGGGGCTCCTTTTACACCAGTGACATCAGTGCGGCGTTGCATGGAGGGGATCAGCCTGTGCAGATGGCACACTCAGAACTTAAAGCAGCTACTCTTCCTCACACATTGATTAATAATCAAATGCAAAAAGGACCACTGAGCATTAGTTAAGTTCTGCTTCTTCTTAACTCGGGTAAAACTCTGGTATCCCATATAGAGTCTGGTGGCTCTAGTCGCTCTCACTCCAGTCTCTGTCCACTCATGGGGAAGCTCCTTACCTCAGTGCTGCTGTTCCCAGTCACCGCTACAGCCTTACCTACCACACTTTTTCCTTCCACTCAACTTTCTCTTAATATCCTTTCAGTTTTTCACAGCATTCTCAGAATCTGAGATGCATGATTTTCTATGAATAATAATGATCAAAATAAAGCCTAATAAAGGTTTTAAGTCTTTCACTGTCTGTTTATTGAATATATAGAAGAGTTTCACTTTCTGAAATCGTTATTTTTTTTTTTTAATGTAGTTTGCGCTGAAACAGCTTCTTGTTTGCAGGTGTTTGGGTGGGAGCAGGCTGCAGTCTGGCTGAACTCCACTCTCTGCTGGAAAAGAGGATTCCTGGACTTCCAGAGGAGAAAACCGAGCTGTTCAGAGCTCTGATCCAGCAGCTGGGGAACCTGGGGAGCCAGCAGATCCGTAATGTTGCTGTAGGGGAAAATAAAAACTTTTTCTTCCAATTTTTTTTTGCTTTACTTTAATCCAGCAACTTGGGTCAAAATAGTCAGTTTATTAGATAAAATGACTTATAATCCATGGAAATTCATCCACTTTAGTTTGGTACCATAAAAGATGGATAAATTTATCTGAAAATCAATTTACCAAATTAGAATTTAACCCAATATTTCTTAATTTTTTTGATTCCGATAAAATACAACTTTGATTTGATTTACGGTCAGATTTAAAGACAAAGAAACGCAGCATTTCTCTCAATATTTTTCTGATAAATGAATTCGGATTCCAGTTTGTTACTCAGATTTACCATTAAATCATTCATACTTCAATCCAATTCTTTTCTGTTTATTTTATTATCCCAAATTAATTAGATTTGATAAATTGACCTTATTTCATTACATTTGAGTATAGATTGATATGCAGTTTTTTTCCCAAATCAGCTCATTCTGATTCAGTTTCATCCAGTTCAGTGAAAAATGCAGAGATTAAACGATTTTATTAGGATTTAATCATTTACACTGAATGGTAAAGTTTCACTTCAGTGATTAATTGTAATCGGATTCATCTGTTTTATCTCAAATACTTGTCAATTTCTTCTTTCCAAATGATGTTGTTAAAATTTAAAGCAATTTTAATCTAATTTCAATCTTGAGGATTATAGCTTCTAAATCAGAGGTTCCCAAACATTTCAGCCTGTGAACCCAAAAATAACTGTACCATAGACTGGCGGATGCTAAAAGCACACATAATTACTTCACTTAATAAATATAAAGTCATTTAATTGTATTTATCTTTAAGCAAATCAATTATAAAATGGCATTTTAATATTTAATCTATTTTAATAATTTTATTGGACATTTATGTTCTAATTTAATGGTAGATTTAATACCTATATCATATATGAGATAAATAAATCAATATTACTACTCATTTCATTTACATTTATTTTTTATTAAGACAATTACAGTTATATATCTTTTAGTTTAGAGGTGACATCCGATTGATTGTTAAAACCATGTAATAATCCCAATAATCCAGTTTATAAATGAATTGAAGGCTCATTTAAATCCAGTTTAATTTCAATCCAACAAATTTAAAATATCTCAATGAAGTTTGTAGAGAAAGGATGGGATTAAAATCCAGTTACACTGTTTGATCCAGTTTATTCTGAATCCATCATCACATTCAGAAACATTCTCTTATCAGTTTAAGCTCGGTTCAGTTAAGATGAGACCAAATTTAGTTTCCGTTTCCAGCTGCGACTCACTTAGATGTTTATCATACAGAGTTCAGCTGATCTGGATTTAAACGTAGATGATTTCATTTCCATCGTTCCGGTAGAGATAAAATGTGCTTGTCCTTGGCTCCAGTAGGAGCTAACCGTTAATGTAGTGAATGAAGCTGTAATGTTTTTCCATTGTTAGTCTCTTGGAGGAAACGTTGTCAGCGCGTACCCAAACTCAGACCTGAATCCTGTTCTGGCTGCCGGGAGCTGCGTAGTCAGAGTCGTCTCCGGCGGTGAGATTCCTTCACCTCCATCTGTTTTAGTCAGCTGGTAACATAACAATATCCGCTCTAAGCTTGTTTTGTTTGATTGTTACAGAAGGAAAACGAGAGATTCCTCTAAATCAGGAGTTCTTTGCTGGATTCGGAAAAACCATCCTGAAGCCGGAGGATGTCGTCGTCTCAGTTTTCATCCCATTTTCTAGAAAGGTGCTGAACTATTCTTTAAACTTTTTTTTAAATCCTATTTAGGGCTTTCAGGTCTTAATTAGGTTAATTTACTATTAAAGAGGCACTCACAGATGTAGTACTTGAATCTGGCCTGCAGGGGGAGTTCATTCGAGCTTTACGACAGGCACCAAGGAAAGAGGTCTCCTTTGCCACAGTGACGACTGGAATGAGGGTGCGTTTCTCTGAGGGATCCAGAGTGGTTGAGGAGGTCAGTCTGTACTTCGGAGGAATGGGTCCAACCACCGTTTGTGCCACCAAGACCGGCAAGGCCATCGAAGGAAGGTAGGATGTTGGTGTTATCGTGGTTTTATATAATCTTTAACGGCTCTATCCTTAGTTGATTCCTCCTTGTGCGGTTCTCCATCAGGCCGTGGGATGAGGAGACCCTTAATCAGGCGTACGACATCCTCCTGGAAGAGCTGTCCCTCCCTCCGTCCGCTCCTGGTGGGAAGGTTGAGTTTCGTCGGGGTTTGACTCTCAGCCTCCTCTTTAAGTTCTACTTGGACGTTCTCCATAAGCTCAAAGAAATGGTAAAACATGAAGGCTCTTCAAAGCGTTCCCATCATAAGTGCTTCCAGCTGCTTTAACTTCCTCATTACCCGTCAGAACGTGATCAAGGAAGAGATTCCAGAGAAGCTGCAGCCTTTGCCCAGAGATATCCAACCCAGTCTGCAGGAGTTCCAGGTCAGGAAACATCCCTCATCATTCACAGCGCAGGAAGCCTGCAGCTCCTTCATCAACCTTCCTCCTCCTCTTCTTTAGTCCGTGCCGAAGGACCAGGAGGCTCACGACCCGGTGGGTCGTCCCATGATGCACCGCTCTGCCATCAGCCAGGCCACAGGCGAGGCTGTTTACTGCGACGACATCCCCAAGACAGACGGGGAGCTCTTCTTGGTGCTTGTCACCAGCTCTCGAGCACATGCTAAGATCACGTAAGGATAACTTCCTCTTCCTGTAAAGCAGGGATGTCAGTCAAATACACACAGGGCCAAAAAAACTAATCTGCTACAAGCCGAGGGCCGGACTGGTTAAATGTTTATTAAAACATATTGAAATGAACATAACCTATTGAACCGGGACCTAACAGATTTTTTTTCAATATTAATATCAATATTATTAATATTATATGTTTCATGTTGCATGATTGTACCATAAAAAATTCCTAGTTTGTGAACTCCTTCACTAACAATGGCAATAAACCTGATTCTGATTCTGATAAACTTGTATTATATTAATAAAATTATTAAGATAAATACATAAATGAAAGTACATGCATTGTAAACCGAAAATGCATTACTGTTCTGCTCTATGATCCTATCGATCACTGCTTTCAAATAGTAAAATAAGGAGAAAGAAAATTAAATCAGTTGTATTCTCGCTCATTGCAAAAATCTAGACAAAACAACCCTACCTTCAAAGAAAAATCACATCTTGTAAAAAGAAATGTAAAAATTTGGTGATGAATCACGGCAGCGGATCCAGAATTCAGCTAGAGTTTCTTTAAAAAAGGAATTTATTAACCAAAAAGC